CTTGCGAGGCAGGCGGCGGAAACTATGAGCTAAATCCCCGGCCCCTTTATATTTTATTTTGAGACAAATTCTCACCGAGTGGTCCAGGCTGGCTTCAAATTTTGAATCCTCCTGTCTCAGCCTCCTGAGTAGCTGGGATTTCAGGCGAGAGATTACTTTTTAAAGTCTATTTCTCAAAGGGATTCTCAACACATGAGTTAGGCAAGCAAAGGAAAAGATGTTTTTAGGTATTCAAATGGCAGATTGAGGAGGACACTCCTGTGGAGAAGGCCCGCCCCTTGACAACTCCGGAATTTCTTCTGAGAATGTTGGGGCCGTTTTTCCCCTAGGCCCCTCTTGATCAGAGCTTTGACTCCCCAGTGGAGACAATTCTTCTCTGTATCCATGGGAATTGCTCCCATAATCAGCAGTGTCTCCTGCCTGGAACACAGACAAATGTTCAAACCTGGCAGCTGATCCTGGGAAGGAGAGCTGATTAAATCTTTCCTGTTGAAAGGCACCTTTTTGATTTGAATGTGACACCTACATACCCCACCTCAGATTTGTCTGAGGGAAGCAGTTTCACTGGAGCCTTCAGCACTGAAGATTTTAATGTCTTAATGACACATTTAATCTTCAAAAGACCTGACTGGTTTCCTAAGTCAACTAACTAAAGAGAAAAAACATGGGCTCTTTTCCTCTCTCCTGGCCCCTTCTCCACTAAACACCACCCTGCATTTGGTAGGATGAAAGCTCCTGCTGCACAGGTATCATCAGATGCCGGGGGCCATGGGGGAGAAATAAAAGGGGTTCAGAACACCACTAAGTACACATAAGTATTAACTACAAATGGAAGAGTGAAAGAGCTGACGAGCTATTTCTTTAGAAGTTTTAGTAAGACAAGTTGGAGCCATCAAGCCCCACAGTGAAGATTCTCAGTGCTATTCCGTTCCAGGAAAGCTTTCTGTGGGCGGGGGTGTATTCTTATCTGGATGTAGCTGGGATTATGTACTACCATTCAAATGCGTTCAGGAGAGACAATATCCATTTTCCTACTGACATCAAGGCAGCCTTTTAAGTTTATCCAGACTTATTTTGGTTCGCGCAATAAAAAAAGCGAGACTGGAGAACTATGTCTAACAAAAATAAAGGCATTGTGCTCTCAGAGTTTCCCACTGAAAGCCGCTTTTAAAGCAGTTTGTGGAGCCACAGCGTAGTCACCTCAGCAATCCTTGCATGCAGGCAGGTTGGCTGTGAACAAAGCCAATTTGCTTCACACGCAACAGCCCTAAACCTCCACTCTCGAGACAAAAGTCTCTCCTTAGCAATGTTTTCTACACAGCTCTGGTGAAGGGCCATTCACTTACCTCCAACCTCTTTCTCTTGGGAGACAAAGGCACCTTTGGGCTGAAGTGACATGGGAGAGTAAGAATCAGATTTGTTATCAACATTGCAGCCTTCAGTTTCAGTGAGAGGCTAAATCTGTCTATTGCGACTACAGGAAGGCAGCCTTTATAACCCCTGGAGCACTTGGCCAATTATGCACCTGCAAATATACCATATAAGATATTTCAGGGTCCTAAGCACTTTGAAAATCAATACTTCAACAGTCTCAGGGGATCCTATCACGCACCTTGGATAATAGTGGCTTTGGAATCTGTTATTGGCACCAGAAAAAGAAAAAAGTCCTCAAAGTCATTCTAAAGCCATTTTTATTGTACATTTTCAAACAAAGAACCTCACCAAAAGAACTTCTGTTACAAAATCAGAGTAGAAAGTCAAACTCATTTCATCTAAGAGTCAGTTACCCTGGCGATTTTGGACGGGTTAGGAAGTGAGGGTGGAGGAGAGCACTGTGGGGTGGGGGTGAGGGGTGGCTTTTAAATCTCCTGTGTGAGAAGACTGTTCCCACCGACTATAAACTCCAACGATTAAAACAGAAGGGCCTCTGTAACTTGCTAGCTATAAACTTTTTATGATTATTAACTGGGGGAAATCTAGAACATGTGGAATCTTAACAATTGGCTTTCAACCTCCATTTGCTTCTTTCCAAGGAACTTGTTTTTGCACGGAATGCAATAATTTAAGGCTCGGAATTTATGTTGGCTGCTCTGATATTCCTTGCTGAAAACCTACCTTCTTACATATGTTACTTCCAACAAAAAGCTGATACCTTACGTGCTGTTGATCTCAGAAAAGAAATACATGTGGGAAAAGAAGCGAATTTCTCATTGCCATTGAAGTGTCGTGACCACCTGTCGTGGGATTTGCCTGCCATCTGCTGTCCGAGTGAGGAACAACAGCAGAGAAGTGGGAGGAAGGAGGTGAGGCTGAAAGCTCAGAATGAAGAGGCCCATCAGTTGAGGAAGGGTTTGGTAGTTAGAAACTTGCCTATTCCCCTACTTTTCTCTCTCTGTTTTGTGGTGCTGTCGATCAAACGCAAGGCCTCACGTATGGTAGGCAAACGCTCTTTCCCTGGGCTATACCCCTATCCAAAACTTTCCCTTTTCTAAGAATCTTGTCCTTTATATTAAAGTGAGGTAGACAAAATATGAATAATAGCAAGAGTGTTAGTGGAAGGGTCTAGAAAATATGAATATAATGCTTTTTGGAAACAATTGGCAATATCGTATCAAGACTCCTAGAATGTTCTTTCTCTTGGTGTAATTTTTTTTTAAAAAAAAACAAAGTCTCACTATGTGGTTCAGGCTCCCCTCAAAGTCACAGTGATCCTCCTGCCTCAGCCTCAGCCTCTGGAGTCCTGGGGTCACAGGTGTGTGCCACCACACCCACTTTGTTCTTTCCCTTTGACCTAGTCATTCCATTTCTGGAAATACATGTTAATGGATGAATCTAAAACTCAGAAAAAGCCATGTAGGCAGAGATGTTCATCACAATGATTATTTTATATGGAAAAAAATAAACAGGAAGCCACTCAAATGTGTACCAATTCACAAATGGTTAAAAACATCCACTTGGCCGGGCGTGGTAGCACAGGGCTATAATCCCAGCACTCAGAATGTTGAGGCCGGAGGATTGCCGGAGGTTGAGGACAGCCTGGGCTACGTACTGAGTTCAAGGCCAGCCTGAACTCCATAGCAAGACTCTCAAAAAAACAAACAAAAACAAAAACAAAAAAGCCCATCTATTTGGTGAAATATTGTAGAACTATTTAAAATAATTATATTTAAGATTTATGACTAATGATAAAATATTACAAGGTAAAATGAAAATTAAAGCCTGTTGTTTTTCTGTTTTCTTTCTTTCTTTTTTTTTTTTTTTTTTTGAGTAGGATTTCCTAGGAATAGAACCCAGGGCCTCACGCATATTAGGTAAGTGCTCTACCACTGAGTTAAACCCACAGCCCTAAAACTTGTTAAAAGAATATAGAAAACAAACATTTAGAGGGAAAAAGCTACGCTAAAATGTTACCAGTAATTCTTTGTGAGGCCATAAAGGACTAAACAATTTTTTTTTTAACTTTTGGATGTTTTCCAAATTGTCTTTGTGCATGTGTTTGTATCTTGTTTGTTTTTTTTGATGTCCAATAACTTGTGCTAAGTATGCACTCCACTACCGAAGCCCCAGCCCCTCCTTTTGTATATGTGTGTGTGTGTGTGTGTGTGTGTGTGCCCTTTTTCATTTTTTATTTTGAGACAGAGTCTTTCTAATTTGCCCACACCAGGCTCAAACTTGCAATCCTTCCGCCTCAGCTTCCCAGAGTGCTGAGATTACAGGCATGCAACATTATCCACAGCTCTTCAAATTGTTTTTTTTTCTTTTTTTTTCAAATTGTTCTTAATGAGTCTATGTTAACCTGTACAGTGGAGAACTGTTTTCCCTAAAAGGTTCTAATCTGTATTTTACTTAAAAACCAAACAAATAAATCCTGTGTGGCCACGGGCAGGTCTTCTCAGCTCTTGGGAGTCAGGTTTTTCATCTGTCAATTGCTTTCCTCTCTCCAAAGGTGATTCCAGAATCAGCCCAGTAATCAATGAGAATGTATTTTGAAGTGTATGCTATCCCATAGGATTTATTATCAGTAATTTATGTTGCCTGCCATTTCTCCCCAACTTATCTGTATTCCTGATTTCTTCCCTGGAATCAGTAAGGAAAATATAAGAACTTTAATTTCCCCTCACTCTTGGCAAAATAAGATTTATAATCTTGCCCTTTGGCCAGATCCACCATCTTCCAGTAATTCTCCAAAAGGAAGGGGACAGGAGCCCAGTATACATTCAGAAAACATGGAGTTGCTCCTTTGGCCATATATGTGCCGATCTACAAAAACAAGGATATTGTAGACATCAAGGGAATGGGTACTGATCAAATAGGAACGCCACACAAATGTTACCATGGCAAAACTGGAAGAGTCTATGGTGCTACCCAGCATGCTGCTGGCATTGTTGTAAACAAGCAAGTTAAGGGCAAGATTTTTGCCAAGAGAATCAATGTGCATATTGAGAATATTAAGCACTCTGAGCTGAGAGAACTTCCTGAAACTTGTGAAGGAAAACAGTCAGGAAAAGAAGGAAGCCAAAGAGTTCCTGGGTCCCTCTGAAGCACCAGCCTGCACCACCCAGAGCAGCACACTGTGAGAATCAATGGGGAGGAGCCTGGGCCACAGGAACCTATTCCCTGCCAGTTCAGGCACAAACTGGAGATGTAGCTCTGTCCTTCAGTGCCTGACTAGCACCTAAGGTGCTCTGGGCCCTGCGTTTAATACCCAGTACAGCTAAAAATGAAAAAGCTTCTCTAAAATGAAAGGATGGTTTTCTTTATTGAGTAGGAGTATGGGTGGTGCCCTCACTCCAGAAAAATAAATACTTAGAGCAGATTCTCATGATACCCCATGAGTGTGTCGTGTCTTCACTCTTCACATTCAGTGTTTTTCTTGCTGAACAATGTGAGTGACTTATTGGGCAACAGATGTAGATCCAACTGGTTAGAAATGACCAAAGATTTATGAAGTATTTGTATTGGCTTGGAGACAGTCACTCTAAATCACCATGGGGAAAAAAAGATGTATGAAAATAAATGGAAGTTGATCTACTGCATTAGAGTCAAGCTAGGAGTTTCTCACTTGGAAATGTATCATAAATAGCTAGGTTTTAAGGATCAGGAACTTGCCTCCAAGGCCCTGCACTTAAAGATAAATTTTTTAACGCACACACCAAACGATTTATAATCTTGTTAAAAGGTACATCCAGCTGGGCACAGTGGGACACATCTGCCTGTAATCCCAGCTACTCCAGAGACTGAGGCAGGAGGATGGTAAATTTGAGGCCAGCCTGGGCAATTTAGTGAATGTCTCAAAAATGAAATTAAAAAGGGCCCAGTGGGGCCTGGGATTTAGCTCAGTGGTTTCGCCGCCTGTGTGCAAGCACAAGGACCCGAGTTCTATCTCTGGTACCAAAAAAAGGGGGGGGGGGCAATGGAAGAGCACCCTGGGTGAACTCCCATAGCACCCAGAGAGAAAAAAGAGGGACCACACTCTTCACTCTATAATCCAGGTCATGGGTCTGGGGATTTAGTTTAGTGACACTGAGCCTGCCTCTCAAGTGAAAGGTCCTGAGTTTGATCTCTGCTACCAAAAAGAAAAAAGAAAACATCCAGGTCATGATGAACTTTTTTTTTTTTTTTTGGTACCGGGGATTGAACTCGGGTTCTTGGGCTTTCAGGGCAGGCTGCGGAACCACTGAGCTAAATCCCTGGCCCAAACTTTTTTTTTTAAGAGACAGGATCTTGTTCTCTAATCCAGGCTGGCTCAAACTCCTGATTCTCCTGCCTCAGCCTGGACCTGCACCACCAGGCCCAGCTTTCTCTTGAATTCTTGGTTGTTACCACCCTAATTGTCTCTGATTTCATCTCTGTCTGGTCCCTCTTCCTCCAGGGCATTGCTTACCCCACTACCACCCAGAGTAATTATTCTTCAATTCCAGGATGGTCAAGCCGTTCCCCAGCTCAGAACCCTTCTTTGCCTCCCTGTTTTATAGGATTTAGTTCAGCACCCTCGTCCCCCTCTGAGTGGTACTCAGTCCCCTGATGTGTCAGATTCCTCCCAACCCCTTTCATTTCACTCACAAGATCCCCCCTGCCAGGACTGCCCTTTCTGGCCACATCCACCTGACAAACCCCTGCCATTTGGGGACTTTAGATGTCAGCTCCCCTTGAAACCTTTCCTGGCTCCTTTGGTAGAAGCGACCACATCCTCCTTTGTGCCGCTTCTCTGAGAGAAGAAGAAAACAACCATACTGGGTCCTATGGCTCTGCCCAGATCCTCTCTGATCTCTGACCAGTTAGTTCCCTTCTGCCTCTTCTCTGGCTGCTGCTGGCTTTTGGCTTTTGCCCGAGACTACTGGGGAGGAGCTCCTCAGGTTACTGGAATGGCTTTGATCCTTCCCTCTTCCTAGTCTCTGGCAAATGACTAATTAGACTCGGGAGTTTGAGAGCTCAGCATAGTCAACTCCGGATGGAATTTACACTCCTGAGCTCCCTTAGGGATTAAGTTCCTTTAGGGATTAAACTACCCTCTCTGGGTCTTTGCCTGAAATCTCATCTTTGTTTGTTTTTTCTCCTTCGCAATCCTGCTTCCCCTGCGCCCTTACGGGTTTGTTCTTGGGAGAGTATCTTTAATAAATCTCTTACCTGGGAATCATTGCCCCAGAGTGTGCTCTGAGATTGCCCCAGGCATCCACCTAGGCACGTCTTTAGGTCCCACTGGATGTCAGAACCTGAGAGGTGCTTTCACAAAAGCTAGTTAATTTACATCTTGCAAACCCTGTATGAATAAAATACACATTTAACTAATTAATTATTTTACTTTTTTTTTTTTTGGTACCGGGGATCAAACTCAGAACCTTGCGCTTTCGAGGCAGGCGCCGGACCCACCGAGCTAAATCCCTGGCCCAATTAATTAATTATTTTGAGACAGGGTCTCCCTATGTGGTTCACACTGGCTTGAACTCACAGTGATCCTCCTGCCTCCACCTCCTGAGTCCTGGGATTACAGGTGTGTTCTGCCACACCCAGTTAAAGTAAGAAAGATGAGGTTTAAACTGGTGATTTAAAATTGCTGTGACCATATCAATTACCCTGTGTCTCCGAGCTTTAGTTCAGGTGTAAAAAAATTTAAATATATCTTTGGGTGTGATGGCACACACCTGTCACCCCAGCACTCTGGGAGGATGAGGCAGGAGGATCTCAAATTCAAGCCCAGCCTGTGCAATTTAGCAAGATCCTATCTCAAAGTGAAAAGAAAGGAAGGAGGGAGAGAGGGAGAGAGAGAGAAAAGAAGAAAGAAAGAGTAAAATAAAGACTGGGGATGCAGTTCAGTGTTAAGACCTTGGGTTTAATCCCTAATACCATACACAACCAATCAATAAACTTTGAAAATGTCCTTCTCACACATTTCTTGATATGTCTTTAACTCCAATGATTTTCTCTTTGTGGACTCTGCATGATAGGCAGACTAAATAAAATCATGGTATGGAGGTTTTGTTTTTGTTTTTGTTTTCGAAGCAGTCTCCCTATTTAGCCTGGTCTAGCCTCAAACGTGAGATCCTCCTTTAACTGCCTCTGTGCTGGGTTTATAGGTAGGTGCCACTGCATCTAGCTTGGGGAACTCTTAATTTTGGTATTTATGTAGAAGTCTGGTTGATTCATTTGCTGGTTTCTACAACTTTTAGTAATGTCAGATTGTGGGGCAAAAGCAGGTAAGAGAAAAAAACCCAACTTCATCAAAATAATCTCTTTTTTGGGGGGGTACCAGGGATTGAACTCGGGTCCTTGTGCTTGCAGGGCAGGCAGCAGAACCACTGAGCTAAATCCCCAGCCCCATCAAAATAATCTTTTCTACTACAAGGTCCCCCTCAATCATAAATCGCTCTTGTGACCTTTGGCAAGTTTTTCCCATCTTAACCCCAATTTTCTTTTTCCTTTCTTTTTTCTGGTACCAAATATTGAACTCAGGACCTCGTGGTTGCAAGGCAGGAGTGGTGCCACTGAGCTAAATCCTCAGGCCCAGTTTTCTTACTTTTAAAGTAAGGAGGGGCCAGTGATGTAGCTCAGTGGTGCTGTGCCTGCCTGGTAAGTGCAAGGTCCTGAGTTCAATCCCTGCTACCAAAAGAATAAATAAATAAAGTAGGGAAATAAGAATACCTACTACTCCAAATTCTCTATTCCATTGTTTCAAAAATATTTCAATATATACGATAATTTGTTTCATTTATACTACCAGTTTCTCTTAGTTCATTGAAAAGAATATTTTTGTGCTATTATCTATTTGTTTCTGTTTTGTAAGAGTATTTTTTTGTCTGTGACATGTACTCTG